AGGAGTCTACATCCTGGGGAGCAAGAATTCAAGAACAGATCATAATAATCCCCCTGTGAGTTCAGGAGAAGGCTGGGGTGTCTGATTTTGTAGTTACAAAACGGGAACCTAAGCACAGGGTAGCCCCTGCAAAGTCTACAAAATGTGACCTCACAGCCTCTCAGGCAATCACATGCCTTTACAAAATCAAGGATTGATTGAAGATTATTACTTTGATACAAAATCACAACCCAAGCATCCAGAGCTCCAAAAAAGGAGTTTCAGGAGCCATCTGTTGGCCAGATGATTTTGTAGTGAAAAGGATTTTGTAGTGATTTGTGGTCTCTATTATGTCTGTTGTGGCATGTTAAGATTCTGTAGTGCAATAGTTTGTCACGGTTTATAGTGCTTCCAAAACAGTGCAGAACTGGGAATGATCATGTCAGGCGCACACTTTTGTCTTTGGCTTGCCGATTCCATTTGCGATACAGCACACTAAGCATGTGACACCCATCACTCAGTGAGAGTGATCCCACCTTCAACATGCCTCGCTACAGCTACAGCGCAAACGACTCCTAACATCATAGCTGCTGGAAAAACTGCCTCAGTCAGAAGGTTCTGTGGCAGCACCCTCAGCCTTCTTGCGTTTCTTTTTCTTTTCATCATGCTCGTCCAACATATCAATGCAACCCGTCTCACAAATGCTTCGCACCAATTTGATCCAGCCTTTCCGGCTGGGAGGATCTTGGTCAAGCTCCTGCATCGCACCGTTCAGGCATGCAAACACTGACTTGCCCCACTTTTTGCCAGATGCTTTTCCATACCTGAGTTGTCTACAGAATCCTAGTAGTCCACTTGTGTAAAGTCATCAACACTACAAACTCCAACCATATACAGAGTCATCTACTCAGGTGGCTACAAAATCAGAAAACACATATTGAAGGACAACATATGGTCTACAAAATCAACATTTGTGGTATAATACTAGGCTGAACTGGTCAAAATAGATATCTAAACAGTCCCAAGACACTCTGCTTTGAAGTGCATAAATGCTGCTCGCTTGATCCGTGACCACTCCACACCCTGACACTTGGGCAGTTTCAGCCTGCAGCGGGCATCTTCTTGGCTGAATGTTGGGTTCGTTGGATACTTGGCGACCTCCTTTTCCATCAGCTGCTGGAAGAATTTCTCAATGAGAGCTTTTCCCGTGAGGTTTTTCAAGAGGTTCTCGGCAGCAAACGGAGTCTCCTTGATCTGTTTGGCCTTCTTCAACTTGGCCGCAAACGTATGCTTGCCCTTCCCCTTTGCATTCTTGCCATGCTTGCCTTTTCCCTTCTTGTTCTTCTTGCTCTTCTTTTCTTTCTCACCATTCTCACCATCAGCTGCTTTTGTCTTGCCCTCTGCTGGCTTGCGGCCTCGTTTGGCCCGTGCCAAATACAACCCAAGCAGCTTGTCTGTGCTTTTCACTGCGTCCATAGACACTGGCCACGATGCTTCAAAATGATGCCTTTCTTGCACTAGAGCCATGGAAGATTCGGAGAGCTTGACAGCCAAGCCATTCTCCTCCTCAATGCTCTTCTCTGAGTCCAAGATGGAGACGATAGTTGTGGGTTCCACCACGAATGCTGTCGAGACATCCATGGCACGCCACACCTGACCGTCCTCATGAAGATGCATCTCCAGAATCCTGACAGCCACAGCATGGTTGAGAGAGACTTTGTGGGTGGTCAGTTTTGGCTTCCTGGCACTGACCCAGATTGAAGATACCAAGGCAACAATGGCCACGCGTGCAATGATCCCATGTGTCTTCTTCGGCACCACTGCGAT